GGTGACAGGGATCATTTTTGTTGACAACAGCTGGAAATGCAACAGCTATATTATTATAATTAGGATCGGCATCAAGTTGGATTATAATAGGGGCTTTCTTGGAGAAATGGCACAGTGTCAAATTTATAGTCACTAGCTAAATGAGTCTCTTGTATCCTCGACAAAGGGACAAAAACAGTTCCGAATGAAAACACAAACAGAGAATCCTGTTGTTATATTTTCTGGGTATTACTCAGGGTTCTATTTATCACACACCGACACTTGCCGCTTTGAAGAAACATTATCCTGCAAGGTTTGCACTTTTCAATTTGCCTCTGTGGTCTTCATTCTGCATGCATTTCCATGGAGAAGCCTAGATCGCAGCTTGACTAGAAATCTTTTCTGCTGCACGATTAACCTCAAAGCATCCATTTTTTCCCCCTTTGGGTAATCACTTGACAAATGCATCCACAAAACCTCCGCACACATCTATCCCAGCGCACAGGTGCATCAACAGTCCTGAATCACTATTAGGAGAAATACCGTCCTTGATGGAAAGCAGTGCTGCCGTTTCACTCCCAGCTATCCGAAGCTGAAAGAGGTGGATTTCCCGAGAAGCCAGGCATCTGGCAGAGATATTCCGGATGAGGATGTGGGCAAAAGCTTGTCTTAGCTCTGTTGCAGCCCCCAACCCAGTAGTTCATCTTGGCAAGTGTGTGGCGTTTACATGGGCCAGGAGATGTACCATTTAGTTGAATGCCATCCATTCAAATAATATCAAGAAACTTACACTGAAAATGTGCCCAGTGCCTGGTTTTGTGCTTACTGCATCAAAACACATTTTATTTGTGCACCCATAGCAATTTTATTCCAGAGAGGAAACTGACATGAGATTGATTAGATGAGAGAATGTGAGATTGTGTGTGTGTGTGTGTGTGTGTGTATTTTCTTTTGTAAAAGGACATGAACATAGTGTTACATTTGGAATGTCTTTTTGTGTTCCTCCCCAAATGTAACAAAATACACTATTATTAAAATGATTATGCAAAGCTACACTTAGTTATAAATTACAACATCACCACCACTGAAAATTAGCTTATTATTCAGTCTCACAGGTATGTACAGATAATATAACTATAACAATAATGACAGTCAGCTCTCAGAAATATTGTGTTAATAGCTCTTCTCTATTCTTTGCAGAAATTATTACATTAAATTATCTCAACAAGCCTTGGATGTAAAAATGGCTATCATATTCCTGTTTCCAGATTAAGGAGCTAAAGCTTAGAAAAGTTTTATTACTTGGCCAATGACACAGAAGTAGTAAAAGTTGGTTCAAGATAGTTTGACTCCAAATTTATCTTTTCTATACTTACGTTATCCCATTTGATCCTCACACAAATCTTGGAAAGTTTGCAGAATAAAAATTGCCATCTTTGCATATGGAAGAACTGAATCACAGAGCATGCAAATGACGGAAATCCTTCTCTTTACTCCTGCCCCAGTGCTTGGTAATGTGACAACGGGATGCCTCTCATAGCAAGACAACATCAAGTAACCATAATCACCAAAAATAGTGACGATGCTCTTCAGTCTTATGAAACTCCTGAGAAAGTTTCCCCAACTTCCATTTAACAAGAAGTAATCTCCATGGTTCTTTATGCAATATTAATATTCTAAAAAATACTTCACTTTATAAACACATCTGAGTAACAGTTCTTCAAAGTAATCATGATGGAAATTAATGCTTCTATGGAAAAGAGTTATGTTAATTTTTAAAAAGTCTGGTGCCCAGTATAGTCATTCTAAACTATAGCTTTACACGAGAATTGCCTGAGAAGATTTCAAAAATCCTCAGCCACCATCCCTGTTTTGCCTTCCACAGATCTGAAAGGGACCACAGGGACCTAAATAGTTTTCAAAGCTACATTCTAATAAGTAGGCAGGGTTAGTTCTCACAAGCTTTGCATGTGGTCATTTCTATGCTAGGTCCCTACATATATTCTTTTGTTTAACCCTCATAAAATGCTAATATATATTGTAGATTTGAAATCCAAGGCTTAGGCAGGTTAAATGATTTGCCCAAACAGACAGACAGGTAAGTATTTCAGAACAGGTTGAAATTATTCCCTCGTCAAACCTCTTAACCCCTGGCTACGCTGCCCAAATGCACCCACCCCCATACATATACACAGTAATTCTGTCACTGTTCAGAAGCTAGATTAATTTTTTTGTTTTTCTCTATGAAGACATGTCTTTATTTAAGAGCCACCCGCTGGAAGAAGGTAGTTTGGGTGATGTCAGAGATTTGCGACTCTGTGTTCAATTCTTTTCCCATTCCTCGGGCAGCGACTAGAACTGAGAGCTCACACTCGTTAACTTAACATCACACCCAGTACAGACTTTGACTTGATTTGTTCTGATAATGTGTTACTTCATAATGGGGAAAAACATTTCTCCTTAAGAAAAAAAAAAAAACAAAGTCACACAAGACAACATAACAAAGCAAAACAAAAAACGGTGGCATGGTCTTCTGCATGGAAGAGCTCATGTTTGCTAATCAGTCTCTGAACTCTTATCCATTCTTTCAGTAACTCTTGAATTCATTCTTTTACTTTTTTTGAACTAATTTTAGACCTGGACAAAAGTTGCCAAAAGAGTTTCTGTATATATCTCGCACTCAGTTCAGCTCCAGTTGAACGTCTTACATCAACTTAGTGTAAGGATCCAAACAAGCAACTCAGCATTAATATCCATTTTCGTTGTCATTACCCAGTGTTAATGTTTTATCACCTCTTAACTGGACTACTGCTGTAACCTCCTAACTAGTCTGATCTCCTGATCGTCTTTGGCTCTGCCTCCAATGGAATCTGGTAGCACTAACAGAGGGAAAGGCCCACACCATGGGACTGGTCTCTAAATATCTTCTCTATTTCCTACAGGATGAAGCCAACACTCCCAATCTTGTCATTCAAATGACTCTTGTATCCTGTTCTCAGTTTGCATCTTCAACCTTAGCTTTCATGGCTGACTTTTCCAGTCATCTCTCCTCCAAAAAATTTTTGGGAACTTTTATCTTACCTGTTCTCACCGGGAAGGTTTTTCCTCCAATTTGTCTCCATCCCACACAATATTCAAATAACTACAAATATTGTACTTTCCTGTGCTTATTTTCATAGCTAGTTGGTGAGTTACTTGTGAAATTCTCCTTTTTTTTTATATTGTTCCCAGTATCTGGTGGAATGTATTACACAACCAACACTCACTGTGTGTGTGTGTGTGTGTGTGTGTGTGTGTGTGTGTTTCTAACTGTAGATTTTGTAGAATGTCTGAGTCATCGTTCTGAGTAGATATTTCAATTTTACAGGCCTATCAACTGCTCAACAAATATCATTGTTACATTTTCCTGTATAGTGACTGTAATTCAAAACGCTTCAAAAAGATTTTGACGGGCAAGCTATTGCAAAAGCTCTACCTTATTTCAGCAAACACAGAGGTATGCTGCTGAGATCCACCCCCTGACTTCCTTCAGGTTTAAAACACTCTTGCCCCCATTGCTGGGAATGCTATTGACAGCTCAGGGCTGATCTATCCAACAGCTAAAGAGCGCTGCCCTGCAGAGGCCACCACTCCTTTCTCAGGGGGTTCCCATATCCAATAACTGGTCAGTGCCGGGGTCTGAAGACCTGATCTCATTGCCTCAATGACCATCCCGGCTCTAGAGTCATCACATCACAGCCCAAGTGCCCCTTCTTCCCAATGTTATCCTTTTTAGTTCCTCACAGATATTGATCAAAGAGCACTCCCCAGTAAAAATCCTGCACGAAATCTCTAGCTCACAGCCTACTTTCTAGAAAACTCCCCTGTCATGCTTACCTACCATTCATCATTAAATTATCAGATAATTTATTCTTTCATTCACTTATTGACTGAGCAGATAGATGTTTGATAATTATTATATATGTCTGACCCTTCCTGGATCAGGGAGACACTAACCCTGCCCTTGCAGAATGTGATACTTGTTAGGACACCAAACTTCTCCAGTTTCTCCCCAGTTTCAGCAGTTCCCAGAATTACCCATAGTCTCTTCGACTATTTTGCCTCCACTCATTGCTTAGAATTCCTTCCTTCCCCTTCTTCTCCTGGTTGAACTCTACCTGTCTTTGAGAATTTAACTCCAGTGCAGCACCCCTCAGAAAGCTCTCCCTGACCAGCCTGTCTGTGCTGGGCTAAGTGAGGGGCCCACACCTGGAGCCATTGCATTCAGCTGAATCTCTCTGTGTACCCGTCTGCCTCCTCTTCTGCCCTCCCACCACCAAACTGTAAGCTTCCTCCATGTAGATTTTGTCTTAGATACACTTCCTATCAGGGAGGCTGTATGTGCTTCACTGCTGAATGAATGAGGGAATAAAACATAGAAAATCTGAAAAAACAAAGATTTTTTTCTTCTATTATCCATTGGGCCTAATTACCTAAATGCCAATTAATTGGTGGTTCCCATCTAATTTAATATTCTGAGGGATTAAATAAGATGGATGAAATATTTCTTTGATATTTTTGTACAGGTTTTACAAGCAGCCATTTTTAAAAAACATTCAGTTGTGCTTTTGCAAAACTTAAATGCCACATGCTATATTGTATTATTAAGCTTATGTTTCTTATTTCTTTGGTATGTTTCCTTTTCAATATTCTCCAAGCCCACATGAGTCTGATAGGCATCTTTACAATGAAAAGTACAAAGGAATCTTAAATAATACAGATTCTAAAAGAGCTATCTTTATATAACACTCCAACCTACCACTACTCTTTCTTTTAAAAGACTTGGATATTGTTGAAGCTATAATGGAGTAGTTTATCTCCATATTTTAAAAGAGATTTCTTTCTTATTCCCACACATGGATTTCTGTATGATATGCTGAGCAAATTTTAGCTCTTGGCAAAGAATAATGTGTTAATTATTGTCTTTCTCACCCTCACTCTCCTTTTTTTTCTTTTTCTTTCTTTTCTTTTTTTTTTTTTAGGTACGTCTGTCACTAATGTAACAGCCACAGATGCTGATGACCCAGTTTATGGAAACAGTGCAAAGTTGGTTTATAGTATCTTGGAAGGGCAGCCTTATTTTTCCATTGAGCCTGAAACAGGTTTGTGGCCTAAATTTTGAATTCTATTTACCATGTTATTGCTTCAGGGAAACATTTTTCTTGGGATTTGGATTATGAAATGTTATGGTTAAGTAGTTTACTGCCTGTATCAATAATATCTCCATGAGTTATTTCTGCACAATGCAAGCTACATGGCAAGCCCAACAATCATTTTGATACTGATTAAAATAAATTGCAGACCCTTCATAGAATATCACCTGTTTAACAGACGGCCTGGCGCTATTTTTCATCCTGTGGGGGAAAAAGTGCTTATACGTCGGTTAGACTTAAATATCAAATTTAGGAATAAATTCAGTTACTTATTGGCTATGTGATGCTTAGTAAGTACCATTTATACCTCTTTCTAAGCTTCAACATGCACATCTGTAAAGTGGGTATGGAACCTACCTCGCTGTGTTATGAGCAACATCAAATGGAACAATAAATATTAGCCACATAATAACAATTCTATGGATGGATATTATATCTGCTGTTAGAGTCCTTAGTTGTAAAACAGGTACTAGTATCTACCCGCTAGAGTTCTTTATAAAGATATTATTATGTATTGTAATATAATGTATTGTTATTATATACAATGTTATATTTTAGTAGTATTATTAGTATTATTAATATCAATATTAAACCTACCCAATATTGTTAGTCTGGTGGTGCAGATTTTAGAAACCATAACTTCATAAAATAATAGTCTTTGCAAATGAAGATAAATCTTTTTATTGTTTAATTTTAATAGTATATTAAGAGAGTAAAGCCATTTTGTGAGACTTTTTATAATCCATGTTTTATTTTCTAGCACATTTAAAAGTTATCATAAATAAAAATTTCTTTTGCGTATATTTTTCTTCTGTACCTGGTGGTTTTGTTTGCATATTTCCAAGTAGAAAAATCCAATATCATACAGCTACATACATACACATATATTATCTTTTTTTATTCATGAGTTTTCAGCATTATTGAGATAAATTTCCATGTCTTACCATTAAGTCAATTATTAATTAAATTAAAATTTTATAGCTTCTCTTTGCTTTCCTTTAATTCAAAGAGTAAAATCCTCATGCATTTAAAAGTGAGAAAAAGAACATTTATACATAAATAGGTCATGGCTTAAAATTGAATTTAGATTTGAAAACAGGAAAGAACGCTTCCAAAATGCATTAATTAGGGGCATCATTACATATTCTTCCTCAGCAAAGAAGGACATCTGTCCTAAACTTCATCTCATTGGGGCTCCTTGATGACGCTGGGGAAGTGGCAGAGAAGGTAGTCAGCTCTGGATTTTAAGGAAAAAGAAAAAGTCTGGAGATGTCCTATTTCTTGGCCAAAGTCACAGTGACAGAATGGCGAGCAGAGTGAGGACTCACACACAGGTCCTTAATTTCAGAGCCACCATCAGATATATTTGAACTTCATTTTTCACAGGCAGTAACATTAGGGTGCCAGGGCTTCTGTAAAACAAAAACGCGTTGATTGTTTAAGTGGAGCTGAATCATTTTCTCCGTTGCTCCTTGACTATTTGTTCACCTTTTGTTCACCATTCCCAGTATAATATAGATATTAATCCAGTAAATATCCATTCAACCTTCACTCTGTGCCAGGCACTGAATTAAATATAAGGAGAAAAAGTCACAAAGGCTAATCGCATCTTGCAAGTATCTCAATCCATTTTGGAAGACAGATTTTTATTTTCGACATAAATAAAAGGAAGCATGGTGATGTCATTTAAATAATTTATGTCTCAAGAATAGTAAATTACCATGAGATATAGATAATACAAGCCCTCCACTGAGTCAGTGGATTTGGGCACTTCTAAGTCTCATTGACATATATGGCGATTTGCTTAATTAAATGTTGTCAGCAACATTTAGCATGTACATTTTAACCCAGCGTAATGAGTGCCTGTCTCAACATGCGTTCATTTTAGCTTTATCATGTCCAATTTGACAGATACAAAATTATATGTATTATATACCAGTTAATTTATACACCAGTTTATCCTGGTACTATTGTGGAAAATGTAATGGAGAGAAATGATGCGTGAAGAATGTGCATAGTAGTTGCTTAATGAATATTGCTTGAGTGAAGTTGAGCTTTTTAACTAAAGCAGATACAATGCAGAAAGAAATAGAGACTAAATGTGATAATCAGTAAAGAGTCAGCTTAAGTTCTTTAGCTGAAACATAAATATATAGGAGTCCAATGTAAATGTTTTTTTTGTGTAAATTCCTGGAAAATTACACTTGAGTGTGTGCAAATAAAAGCAGTGTTAGTTGTTCCTGCAGAATCTAAATGCGACTATATGTGAGGCTTTTTCTCTCTTAAACAATTTTTTTGAGATATGACTGTGTGTATGTGTGTGTGTGTGTGTGTGTGTGTGTGTGTGTGTGTGTGTAGGAGGGTATAAGTGCTATGCAGAAACAGAGTAAGAACACTTTTTAAAAAGTGTATATTAGAAAAACAAAGAAAAAAATGTACAAAGGCCATTGAGCATTTGGATGTTTGATTATGTAAGTATACAGGAAGTAAATACACTTTCTGGTGACCAAAATATGTGGATCAGTTGTGTCCGCTGGGAAACGGACACTGAGATAAGAGTTAGAAGAACAAGTGGTTTGTTGGGGTTAATGACTGTGAAAGATGAATGAAACACTGTCTTAGTCAGCTCTCGCTGCTATAAAAAAATACCATCAACTGGATGGCTCAGAGAAACAGAAATTGGTTTCTCGCAGTTCTGGGGGCTGGAAATCTGAGATCAGGGAGCCAGCATGGTCGGGGCCCACTCCCAGGTTGCAGATGGGTGACACCGTATCCTCGTGAAAAGAGAGAGAGCAAGCTCTCTGTCCTCTTTTCATATGGACGCTAATAATATTTATGAGGGATTCACCTCATGATCTAATTACCTCTCATAGGCCCCACCTCCAGATACCATCACACAGGGGATTACATTTCAACATATGGATTTGGGGAGGGACACAAACATTCAGTCTATAACAGGCCTGAAGCAGAATTGAATAGGGAAGCTCACCATAATGAAGGTCTGATACTCATGCAAGTTAAGAGGACAGGAAACAAGCTAAAGCAATGCAGATTTAACCACATCTTGGTCCAATCCATGGGGGTCCCTGGAGCAAAGATTATTAATTTTTATTTTTATTATTATTAATTTTTATTAAGGAGTCTTACGTTGCACGTAATTGGCCAGGCTTCCAAATAACCGAACATCAGTCATTCCGTACAGCCACATCAGTCATTGGCTTGGATGTGGCTGGAAAGGGTAGGGCCTTAGTTTATATCCTAAAACCAATCCTAAAGATGCTTCGGGTGATGATTAAGAAGTACACATTGGTAGTTACAAAACAGTCACAGGGATGTAAAGTACAGCGTAGAGAATATAGTCAATAATATAACAACTGCATATGTGTAGTGCCAGGTGGGTGCTAGACTAATTGGGGCGATCACTGCATAAATTATGTAAATGTCTAACCACAATGCTGTACACCTGATATTAATACAAAATATTATTGAATATCAACTGCAATTGAAAAAAAAATTTAAAGATGCTTCAAGTGCAAGGTGCCAGGTGACTGTACTCTTAGACAAGTTCTTTCTTGAAGAGATATCCAAGCAGTGGCCTCTGTGGCTGCCACAACATGTGGCAAAAACAAAAGAAAATAACCCTTACCCTCTCAAATCACAGAATGTGTTTAAAACAATGATATACAGGGTTAGCACGTGTTTGGTGAATTACTCAGTCAAAATCTGATAGTAGGAGTGTTTATAGAGACACTTATTAAAAAAAACTGAAGGCTATATATCAAAAACCTTGAGACTAGCCACTAATTTTCACCTAGGAATTTTTTAAAACTAAATGTATTGGGGTGACAACGGTTAGTAAAATTACATAGGCTTTAAGTGCACAATTCTGTAACACATCATCTATATATCACATTGTGTGCTCACCACCCAGAGTCAGTTCTCTTTTTATCTCCAAGGACTTTAAATTGTAGCAAAACAAAGAAAATTTCAGGGATGAAAAGCACAGACTCATTACCATAGGACCTATATGCCTCTGACAGAGTGCCTGACAAATTGGCCCTCTATGTGGCTGGTCTGTCCGTGACAGTGAGAAGTGACACAGCATAACTCAGTCTGCAAATACTGGCTGAACACCAATACACATTACGACTGATGTGGGATCCTCCCCCAGTTCATTTGTTTTTCTTTTTTTAAAAAACCAGGATATTGAAGTTTGTAATTTTAGTATTTGGTTTACAGTAAAATGGAGACGAAGGTACAGAGATTTCCCATATATAATTTCCCCCAAACATGCATAACCTCCCTCATTATCAATATCACTCACCAGAATGGTACACTTTTTACCAGTGAGGAACCTTCACTGACAAATAATAATCACTCCAAGTTTATAGTTCGCTTTAGGGTTCATTCTTAATGTTGTACACTCTATAGGTTTGGACACATGACTGCTGACATACAGCCATCATTACAATAGCAAACATAGTACTTCCTGTTCATCCCCCTGCCCCGCTCCCCTCAACCCCTGGCTCCACTGATTTTTTTATTGTCCCCATAGTTTTGATTTTCCAAAATGTCACAGCTAAAGCTGCTATAATGTCTATGTACAGGTTTTGGTGTGGATATATGTTTCCATATCCTTTGGGTAAATACTAAGCAGTGTGTTACTGAATTGTATTATAAAAGTATACTTAGTTCTGTAAGAAAGCACCACACTGTACCATTTTGCATTCCTACCAGCAATGAAAGGGAGTTTCTGTTACTCAACGTCCTCACCTGCATTGGGTGTTGTCAGCATTTCAGATTTTGGCCATTCTAACAGGTGTGTAGTGGTAGCTCATTGCTGTTTTAATTTCCATTTCTCTGATGACATATGATGGGGAACATCTTTTCAATGCTTATTTGCCATTTGTATATCTTCTTTGGTGAGATGTCTGTTAAAGGCTTTGACA